AGATGTTCCTCCATCTTGCTTCCAAGCTCGTCGATGAACTTTTCCAGTCGAGCTCGGCTTTGAGCTTTTCCAGGACTCAGGAATGGTGTCTTCCTGACTCTTCCCGAGGGGCCAACCTCAAATGTCACCAAGCTCAACCGGTCCTTCTTGGCCATAGACGCGAGAAGGAAGTCGAGAGTGGCACGAATGACCCGTACCTTCAGCTGAGCAGTGCTGGGAACAGCAGAAGGTGGGGGCATGGAGATGACAAGGATCAAGTCCAGCGGTGGATGTGGAAGAGGCGTCAAAGAATTGGACGGTCCTGAGGATGTGTAAGGCGTGACCAGCGGTATCGGGGATTCATAGTTGCTGAGTTCGTCGTCTTCACCGAGCGTCGTCAATTTATTGTTATTGGATTGATTCATCTGATGCCGTTGGGGCATTGAGCCGTGTGATGTAGAAGAGGAAGTTGTGGACCGGGATGAGCCGTTCAGGAGGCTGTCCACCGTACTGACCGTTGTTTGAGTGCTGCCGCCGCTCAGCATGCGCATGGCCTTCTGGCTTCCTCCGAACTCCTCCATGTTTGGTGCCCGTGATTCTGGTGGGGGCGAAGCGATACCGTTTTGTGCCTGGAACATGTTGACGAGGGCTTGGATGTTGTTCTTCCAGGTGTCCAATGATGCCCGGTCCTTGAAAATAAGGATGAACGAGGCCAGCTCATCCTCCATATCAATCGTCAAACTCATCTCCCCTGCAGCAGAGCTGGCTGTAACGTGCTTGATGTGACGGACATATATGCGCCCCTTCAGGCGCAAGACACCTTTTGACTGGCTTGAGTTGGACATTGTCGACCCCGGGTCCGTGAAGCCAGATGCATTCGAAAGTAGCCGACCGAGTCCCCGTTTCTTCTCCTCGACGACGCAAATAATGGCTTCCTTGAAAAGATAAACATAGAATTCGCGGATCGCTGCGTCGCGCCGAACCGACAACAGATCGTACATTTGCAACGGTCCCAGGTCTGATAAAGGATGCCCTTTCCAATCAATTATGCGGTTCCTAAGGTCTTCAGTAATAGCATTGAATGGCGAGTCTTCCTCGTGATGAATGATGTTATTGGGTATGTAAGAATCATGTCCATTGGACGGGGAATATGGATCAGATGGGTGAGGTAAGGACTGATTTGGGTATTGGCGTGAGGGCATGTCGTGTTCGGCGTGATATTGCTGCAGCTGTTGTTGGCGTTGGCGCGCGTGATCCTGATGTGGGCTTGAACGACCAGAATTGGGTTCGTGGCGGGAATGGCTGCCTGCACTCCGCGCGTAATTGTCATTTATAACGGGGCCTGGTGTACTTCCACCTACTCGTTTTCCAGGTAATTCGATGACGACAATGCAGGTTAGCGGCTGATTCAAGTCGTTGGTCCGGGTTAGAGACGAAAACTCGGGTCGGACTTGGATCGAGGGCGCGACGATGTATTGGGAAAGTTCGCCATTCGGGCCTGATTTGACGGAACCTGTTGATTCTATAGGATCGTCGTCATTTGGATTGTAGGGAGTGGGTTGAACACGGCGAGTCGTGGGGGTATCACGTCCAGGGTATAGAGGAGCTGCCTTACTATCGCCCATACCCGTGAGAGCAGCAAGCTCTGCGGGGGAAGGAATGAGATGGAGATTTAGGGAGGGATAGAGGACATACTATTAGATTTTCCGCCATCTCCGTCTCCGACCTTCATTGGACGGCGACATACACCGCAAACTCCGAGGTTTGATTTTCTGGGGAGAGTTGAGCGAGCTTGGTTGGGCGGTGGGCCATATACGGCGGTGAAGCATGCCTAAATGGTAATTAGACTGTGTTAATATGGAGTTAATTCATTCACGCACCTCATGAAGGGCATGACCACATTCGGGGACAATATGCGGCTTCTCGCCTGGGAGACGAAAACTGAAGCTGAGGGGCTCGAGACAGACGGGACACTCTGCCTCGTCCTCAACGTTCTCACGAGCAGACACCACTGGTATGGGTGCTAGGTGCATATTGTTATACGGGTGGTGGGTGAGGTTTTCGCTGGAGTTGGAGGTGGAGGTGGAATAAGCCGAATGAGTGGAGGGTGCTCTATTCGGCTTGCGGAATACGGACTGGAACGTCTTGAAGGGCGACTTGGATGGAGAGGGTGCGCCTGGAGGGAGGGGTGCGTTGCGTGGAGCGATAAAGGTGGGGGTGAGAGGCTGTTGATGAAACTTGTTGGAATGATCGGACGGGGTGGGCGAGTCTCGATGGCTTCTCGATATCCAACTGTTGGTGGAAGTTGATCTCATGAACCAAAAATGACTGCAGCAGCAGATAAAAAACTAGAAAGAAAAAAAAAAAAGAGGACGGGAGATGATGAATGCTGAGGTTGCCACCACGCTACAAACTTTTCACGACGCTGCACTCACCGAACGCATCTTTGATGGCCCATTTCGCTTTGTCCCGATATGGAAACCTTTCAAGTCCCCTCACTGTCTACAATGACCAATTCGTCCTAAACCACACTCCGGCAGATCAGAAGCATTGGTTCCTATCACCTCTCCCAAGGCCATCGCATCGTTTACGATTCCATCATGTCCGGCAATCTCCGTCGTACCTCACCACCCCTTTTGCTCAGGAACGCAATGTCTCAGAGTGCTGCATCAAACTGACATAGAGCACATTGATGGTCGAGAACCTGTAGACACAACTGACAAAATGACAACCCCTCGGCACCCCGTTATATACCAGACCATGTCCGAAAAGGTCCTCATTCCTGTCACGCGAATATGCGCATGTCCTCTGGTCATCCTTCTTCGACGTGAGGAATGTAAAAGCGATCGCATTTCTAAAACTTTGAAACGGACCACGCTTTTTCATCCGTACCGTCATCAAAATTGACTAACCTCCTCCACCTTACCAAGCCCACTAGTTCATCGTGTATATGAATGAACATCCTTAATTAATCACTACACTGACAATGGCCAGCTTCAAATCTCCCCTTGTCGGCTACGAAAATGCCGACCCTCTGCCAGACACGATCAACCCCGACGGCAAGTCGCTGTACAATACCCCCACAGGTGTCAAGTCGCCTGCTTACGAAGAGTTCCCCGAACCTATCGATCCGTCCAACAATGGATTCGACTTCCACAGTGTGTACCTCCCTCCCTGTGACGCCCAGCCCTGGACTAATAACACCGTCGTGGTTGATGGAAAGTTTACTATATGCAGAACGTCGCCAGCGACCTGAAATACGCACGGGAGCTGCATGAACGCATCAGAAGAGAGTTTCCAGAGGTATGTACCCCGACGACGACTTTTGCGCCTCGAAACCGCCTCTGATGGTCGCCACACGTCGAAATCACAGCTCCGTATATATAAGTTCTGGGAAAACCCTGTCGGTGGGTGTCACCTGAACCCTTCGTGCAATATTATATGGCTAAGCGAGGAATATTGCTCCACCTGCAGGTCCGCACCCCACAGCGATGTTCGAGGTGAACACATTCACGCCGCATCAAACGGGCACCCTCTTTTCGTGGCTCACAGTCCATCGTGGACCATGCTCGTACGTCATTCCATATGTGCCTGGTTACTGGAGCGTCTCTGGGACCGCGAGTAACGTATGTTACCGTGATGTTATGCGGGAGCCCTGTTTGAAGTCTGGAATCAGCATATGGCTCTGCGCTTTCCTGATGGAAGCGCATATCATGGGAGAACAGACACCGCGGAGCATATGCGGCTTGGGGATGTGCTGTTATCTCTCGCTTTACTTCCCTTCCCCCTCTGTGCCCGAGGAGCTCATTCTGATCAAGTCTCTCTGTACTTAGGGTGCTGGTACATCCCAACACGGACGATCCTTATAAGGACCACACGGAACTGATGTCGTGGATGGGGAGACCTTGGCCCTTGAACACGGAGTTGTTGAAAAATCACTCGTAGTAGCTATACATATGTAAGTGTTGTAACATGGAAATGAAGATTGCAATATCACGACCTAAAGTATCGCTTCTTGGAGTTACAGCAACAAAGCCGCGACGGGCTCCGGAAGTATCTGACGCAATAAGATGTCTCCCCAATTTCGGAAAGCCCAAGTTATCAAAAAAATAGACTCAATTCCAGTATGCAATGACTCTACTGGCCCTTATTTAAATTAATCAACGGGTAAGCCCCCTTTCTTCAGCGGCAGTCCGCTGTTTCTTTTCGACGTTCAAAAACTGTTAACAACCCTTCCACCATACATTTTCCAAGTAAATCACTGCCGCCCAGTCCAGCCACGCATTTTGCACCAGGTTCGACAGTTATCGCAAATCAAGCGGCAAAGCCTGGAAGATCGACTACGGTAACCTGGCCCCAAATGACGCCGCCGACCACAAGAAACTCGACGGAAGTATTAATCCTAGGTAAAAAGCATTTCGGACAGCACATTCCTAGCAGGAGGCTGTCGACATTCCATTCTGGGCAGCGTCGAACACGATTTCGAAAACTTTCAAGAAAATTCCGACGATGGCCTTCCTACAACTTCCTATGAAGCTCCCAAGGATCTCGCGCTTGGCCTCGATCCCTATCGCCGATTATGTCCCGTTTCTCGTAGTCGGCATATTGAACCCAGTTCAATTGACCGGAAGTTGTATCCGTAACATCCCTCCCTCTACCGTGAACGGTCGAATCTTGGTTTAATTTTTGTTGGCTTGTGCATGTACGTACTACGTACATATCTGGAATGAACTGTCTTCCTGGGGCTGGCTCTTTCGCGATCAATGTGACCTCTCAGGCCGAAACATATGCCACAGTCAAACAGCAAGTGGAACGGAACATTTAATTTACGCCCCTTCTCTCTGTCAAGCCTCTCCTTCTCGCTTCCGAGTCGCTTCCTCTTTCTCTTCTTGAAAAAAAAAAAAAAAGCAGGACAGGGGATAATTCAAGCCTGTGGCTTGGACGTGTCTGGCCAATCAGGAGTCTTGGTACTTTCCCTTCCCATTGCTGCCTCTTCCCTTCTGTTCAAAGCAAAAAGGATATGTCCCTAGCAGGATTCGAGCCTGCGGCTTCTCGGAGCTCTATAGACCACAACGAGATGATTTAACCACTAATCGATAGGGACTTGCGAGAAAACTAGAAAAGGCGTTATATGTTACAAAACATGTTATCTGATCGGGACTCAGATCAGGAGCCTTTTGAATGGAGATATGATCATCTCAGTTGTCAGACTGCGCGCAGAGAAAGCTCAAGGGAGTTGAATGGCACGACGATGAGCGCAAGGAGTCGACGGAGTTCGGTCATAGACGCATGCCATCATATGCTGTTCTGGAGGAATCACAGACAGGGAAATCACAAGAGGATCCGTCCGTCATGTGTCGGCCTTCTCCGAGCATCTAAAAGCGGCCAGACTAACAGCTTCCCTGATTTCACCTTCATCCCTTCACCCACAACACGATGCCCCAAATTCTGAACAACGCGCTCGAGGCGGTTGGCCACACTCCACTGATTAGACTCGACAAGGTTGCGAAGCTAAAGGGGCTCAAATGCAACCTCCGTAAGTCCTAGCTTGGAAAGCGCGACAAACGCTGATGTCATTATTCATCATAGTTGGAAAGGTCGAATATATGTCTGCTGGCGGCTCCGTCAAGGACCGTATCGCAAAGGCTATGGTCGAGGCGGCTGAGAAGGAAGAGAAATTGATTCCAGGCAAGAGCGTGGTCATTGAGCCTACCTCCGGTAACACTGGTATGCCGTCGGAAACCCGTTTACTGCCGTCTTTCTTGTGCTAACATACATTAAAGGTATTGGTCTGGCGATGGCATGTGCTATCAAGGTCTGTTGGATAGTGAGTAGTCCCAAGAGTTGGTGCTGAATACTACAGATAAGGGTTATGCCGTCATCATAACAATGCCGAACAAGATGTCTCTTGTATGAACGTCTTATCTTCGAGCCCTTTCACTTTCCTGACTTGGGTTACCAGGAGAAGGAAGCTGCTCTCCGTGCTCTGGGTGCAGAGGTCGTCCGCACCCCTACCGAAGCCGCTTGGGACTCCCCTGACAGCCATATAGGTAGAATCCAAACTTAACCCTCCGGAAGTCTCGTGGCTGAATTCCTTAACGATTGCAGGTGTTGCGCAGAGATTGCAGCGTGAAATACCTTATGGTATCATCCTAGATCAATACCGAAACGTTAGTCATTCTCCCCTTGTGGTTTCCGGCTGATACGAGGAATCATCCAGATTAACAATCCACTTGCACATGAATATACTACCGGACCCGAGATCATCGAAGCCGTCGTGTCCACGCCTTCAACGCATGCTAGACCGTCATCTGGAAAGGTTGATGTAGTGGTCGCTGGTGCCGGTACCGGCGGTACCGTTACTGGTATCTCCCGAGCTATTAAGAAGACCCACAATAAGGACTGCGTTGTTGTTGGCGTTGATCCTGTAAGCTTCATGAACTATTTTTACCGCATTGCATCAATTGAAGCCACGTTGCAGAATGGCAGTATCCTCGCCTTCCCGGATGAGCTCAATAAAGCCGAAGAGGGAGCGCAATATGTCGTTGAAGGTATTGGTTACGACTTCATACCGCAAGTCTTATCTCGCGCCGACGTCGACTCCTGGATCAAGACTTCAGATGAGGAGGCGTTCGCCGCTGTTCAGGTGATAATGCGTGAAGAAGGCCTCCTTGTCGGAGGAAGCAGTGGGAGTGCCCTAAGCGGTGCACTTCGTTGGTTATCCAGCGATGCGGGGCGAACGGTCGCCGAGACGGAAGGTTTGAACGTCGTAGTGCTCCTTCCTGATGGGTAAGTCGTGAGGTATGTTTTGTATTCCAGCGATGCTTAGGGTCTTTTGCAGAATCCGGAATTATATGAGCAAATCGTGGTTCTTGAATATTGCGTTGGAATCAGAGCCGTCCCCACTGGCGGGTGTGATTTCCCAAGTGCTGAAGAACAATTCAGATTTGAAACCCACCACTGTCCAGGCATCCCTATAATATCCTCAGGTCTGTAGTTTTAGCCTTGAGGTTTGTAATCTTGTAGATTTTTCGTTAGTCACAACGTGAAGCATAATATTAAAGTCATATTGCGTGTTACAATGGAAACAAACAAGTAATAAAAGGTAATGTTGATATGTAGGACGAGCACAAACCCGGATGAACTCCACTAGAACAGGAGTTCGCGTTCTTGAGGCTGCCCATCGAGCTGTTGATTAGACAGCTCGAGTGCGTAGTTATAGGCACATCACCAGAACCGATTGCAGCATGGAAGCAATTCGTACTGCTCGGGCAGAAAGTGGCCAATATGTAGGAAGAAGAGGGCTGGAGGGGAAATGACATGATGGAAAAGATGAAATGATTCACACATTTAAATAAAAAGTCGGATAATGTGATTGCAGGATACGGGAGGGGAGAAGGAGTAGGATGAAAGACGTTTTTTTTGTGCTTTATATAGGCTGCACATCGCGTACAAACAGGTACATACAAACGTCGCCATCACGTGTAAATCATATCAAGATTGGCGCGCAAGCCTTTGTCTTCGGCGAACAGGGGTGGCGGATTCTTGGAACGGCCTCAGTATCGTTTATGACGACTGTAGTGCATAGTCTGCTTTACTATCTTCAGGTATTCAACTCGGATTTTTCTGCTATCTCGCATCTTAACTGGCTGATCATCCATGCAGCACTCATGAAACAGGCAAATCTGAACGATGTCCTCAGAGACCTCAAGAGCTCGAAAATCACCGAGCGTCGGGATGCGCTTGTGGCCTTAAAGACCATTTTTGACAGGCTCGAGTTTGTCGACAACTTCCACATCGTAAACGGCGCTGTCGAGCCCAGAGCTTGGCTTGGTGTATTTCAGGCGCTTTTCGCGGCTGTTCTCCAGGAGAAACTTGGTGTTACAAAGAAGGATGCCAAGAAATCCGCCAATACTTCTGCAGCTGCGCAAAGGAGGCTTGAGGATGCCGCGAGTACCCTTCGATGGTTAACAGAACGGACGGTCCATCTCATGAGTAGGCGCGTCACAAAACCTCTCTTCGAGCACCTACTGCAAACAATGGTGCACCAAAGGCAACTTCTAACGCCCGTTGCTTTGCATTACATCAAAGCTCTTCGATGCATTGTGTCCCATACACCACACCTTGAGCACATGGACGATGATGTTTGGGTTAAACTGGTGGAAATGGCCTTCAACTGTCTTTTCGATGATCCCATTGGATCAAGTTTTGAGGATGATGTCAAAATGGGCTCTCCCGAGGTTGCTGATGATTCTGAGCTTTTCGAGGAAGACGAGGACACAGACGATGATACTCTTCCATCAACATCGAAAAAGCGTTCTCGCGGTAATTCGCCTACGACTCAATCACGATCCGAAAGAGCTTTTAAGAGGGCTAGATCTACCCCTCAACAAGCGTCTGTTTCTCGTGAACAAGTGGAATTCATGTCATTGATCTCCGTGTTGCTTGGATCATCATCTTCACCTATTCTGCTGCCACACTACTCCCATCTTCCCTCATCAATTTTGACGCGTCTTCATCGCTTCCTCGATCGATACACAGGCGATACATCCCTTCTGCACGATTATGTTGTTGCCTTATCAGCAACGCTGGCCCATCTGTCCCTCAATAAAACCCTCGAGGTCGCAAAATTTACGCGGGACTCCTGGAACGCGTTGCTTGGGCTGTGGGGAACGAAGAACAAGCGCATAAAGGAAGGGCTGGTGTCCATATTCCGTATTATCATGCCTTTTGTGACCACTGAAAATGAAACGTACCATGCAGCCGGATCGTCATTCGACCGCTCTTTAGGCTTACGGAAGTTGTCGTTGGTCATCGACGGTCAGATAGATAGCCGATGGGGCATAGATGGCTTGTCCCTGGATTGTTTAAGACTCGAGACTACGGACCTGTCCTTGGAGCAACAAGGCTTTTCAGCGTTCGTGGCGAGGACGTTCCGTTATGGATGGAGTTTTGACAGCAATCAGGCTTTGGCTTGGGCCGTTTTAGAACTTCAAGCGGATTGCCTTGCCAAGGTGTGTATGTTTCAATAATCTGAGCCACGCACTATTGTGTTCATTTGTATAGTTGTTTCTACTCTCAGAGTCAATGCATCCTCCTCCAACCCCGGGACCGACATATACTGAAAGCAAACGTCCCCAAAGAGGAAACCCCATAAATTCACTCTTGGCATCTATAAAGGACACTTTCACATCGAACGTCCGATCGTACCATCTACAAACTCTTCTTTTTGTTATAGACCGCCACTGGCATGTGCTACACAGCGAACTCCAGACCACTGTCACGGAAGCTCTCCTCGAGTTGGTAAACGTTGACGATGGTGCCGTACAATCTTGGATATTCCTCTGCTTTGGCGCCATCGCATCAACTACCAAATCTTCGTCAGGTATACCGGAAAAGACATGGCACAATATCTGGCAACATACAATCCGTCGAACGAACACTTCCTCTGTGTCAAGAGCAGCCTGCCATGCTGCGCATGTTATTCTTACCCATACTCGCGCTCACGATCCAAAGCAGGGCTCCGCTCAAATTCCTTTGGCCTCCACCCAAGTCTTGAGCGAAATCGAAGCCCTCGCCAAAGATCTTGACGTTCAGGGCCCTTCCTATCCATTCGACTCTGTTTGCGCATTTCTCTCCACATGCCTTAGAGTGGCTAGCCAAGATATGCATCTCTATCGAATGCAACTCGAAGAAAAGGTGCTGACTTGGTTGCTTGACTGCTGGCAAGTTTCAGGCTTCCGCAACAAAAGCCTATCATTACACACGGTGAAAGATGTACTAGTGTTGTTGGAGAGCATCTGCGGCCTTTCAAGGCCGAGCCACTTCGACGCCCGAATTCCACTCCCAGAAGGTCAGATTGTCGATACATTGGTGGACGAAGCGAGGAGCAGAGTCATCAGGGAATACATCCTAGCTGCCCAGTTACCCCAATTTCAACCCGCAGAAGAAGCAGATAGGCTAGTTTCACCGCACACCCCCTCTCCCACGGACCGCAGTGACGGATCCCTTGTCCCGCGTAGAGGACGCGAACGAAGAATATTAGCATTTTTTCTCAAAATGTTGGAGCGTTTACAAACCCAGTGGGACGAGAGTTCTGGACAC